CCACTGACAGCCTGCAGCCACTCTGTGCTCATTACCGGAGCTCTGCTGTACTTCGTCCTGTCGATGGTGTGTTACTGACACTCAGTGGTGAGAGTGATATTTTGAGACAGTCTTCCAAAAAGAAAAAAAAAAACGTAGTACACTGAAGGAACAGTGAGTTTACTCATTCAGTAAAACTAGCTGCTTTATCGCTGTGGTTGTCTCTGAGTGTGGGTGCTTGTTCTGACATGGAGTCATTACAGCATATTTTGTGGCAACTTTGCAAGCCACATGCATTGGGAATTATGGGATAATTACATGTAATAACAATTTGTTCCAAACCACCATTATGACCTTTAATTGTGATATTGGAGGAAGACATTTTAAAAGGCAACATTTTAAATGCAGGTTGGTTTTTATGACTAGCTGATGTCCTTTTTTAATCAGGTATGATTTTTACCTAATTGTTGACGATGTACTGTCTTTAAATCACACCAGAATCTTTAAGATAAGAATTTGTAAAAGTGAAACCAAAATCATGTCAGTGGAAGAACTTCTAATAGATTTGTTTTACTTAAGGTGACAGTGTGGGAGTCTATGGATATTGCTTTCAGTGTGTTTTCCATTATAGAGATATTTGGTGTCCAGGTGTAACTACAGTATATTCATGTTCTTAGAGCATGTATCTTACAGTTTGTCTTAGACAACAAACCAAGAGATTTTACTGATCTCGAAGTTAATGCCACACTCAGTGGAGCCTTTTGTTAAGTGGAACTTCACATTAAAAAAAGACACATTTAAAGTCATGATATTTAATGTATTTATACATGTACAATGCATACATGAATATATACATGGAGTATTTTGGGTGAGATGGATGGCAAATGTCTCAAAAAGGGAAAACCGTTAAGAGCGATTGTCTTTAAGTGGAACCCTGTCAGGACAAGAATAATTAAGGACTAAACATGGTGTAGTAGTAAATCTCTGACTAGTTCAACATTGGAATATTTTACTAAAGATCTGAATGTTGAAAATGAAGCCATACTGTAACTAATATTTGCTGCTCTCAGGTATATTTGAAAATCTAAATTGAGTATCTTGTCTTTTTTTGTGGTTATTTTTTAAATTTTATTTTGCTGTATGTTGAAGTCAACTATTGATTGCCACAAACCTGTAATCCATTTTTGATGGGTTTTTTTTTGTCTGGTTACAAACTCAGTTATTGTTTTCCTAATGAATCCATCTTTTG